GCACCCAATAATCACATGATTAAAGCAAGTCTAGACAAAAAAAAACCCCTCAGCATCTAGGTTTTGAAGCTAAAAATAATAACAATCTTTCAGTTTGCCTCCCTTACATTATTCCCAGGTTACATTTTCAAGGTTTTCTTTGCAAACATAAACACTCGAAGATTATTTTAAAAAATGACACTTGGACATCTGTTATGTTTGCATAGTGGTGAGAGCTGGACTCTAAGGAAAACATAGACCCTTAAAGAGAAAGATGGAGAGTTGTATGGATTCATGGGAGAGCAGCTCTTGGTCACAGTGTGACATGAAACACCTGCAACGTTGATTTAGCTCTCCACGTGAAATAGAATCGTGCAGGGAGTTTTCTCAGCAGAGTTGCTCATCTCGCTTCCTCAGGCCTTGATTAGTCTTTGAAGTTAGCCCAGGATCTCGCCTACCAAGATCTGCATGGCCCCTGTTCTCTGGTTCATGAAGAGCCTTGTACAGCACTTCTTCCAGTTTACGTTAGCTCATGGCCTCTTCCACGATCGGGCTCCTCATTTTGCCTCTAGTAATTGTCCTCTCCTCCAAGGGCCACCTCCATCCCCTGTAACCCGGGTTATTCCCACCTCTGTGGACAGTCCTTAGGCTTCGAGGTTACGCTGGGTCTGGAAAGGGAAGGACATGGCCCCTGCCAGTAACACAGCACGCAGATGTACAGTGTTAATAGAGCAACATCAATATAAACGGTCTGTATCAAAATCCAGAAGGTCCAGGGGTCGAGGTCGAGGGTACCAAAGGTCCGCAGAGCATCTTCAGCTCTTGGTGAACCGTTCTGTCATCTGCCCTCTTTACGTGAGAAAGGCAGAAGCACAGCCACAGCAAAGGGGCAACAAAACCGAGTTCACCCTCTTTTGTCTCTCCGTTGAGTACGTTAAAGAGGGACCAGAGGTGCGCAGACTCAATTCAGGGAAAACAGATTATTGGCCAGGCTTTGCCCCTGCAAAAGCACATTTAACTGGAATTTTTTTAAATGTTGTTTTTATTTGTGTTTATGATGGGAGGTATTTTCACATGAGCTTTTACTGACAAAAACAAGTTTGACTGAAGTCAACACACACACACACACACACACACACACACAGGTGAAAGTAAAGCAGGGAAGGAGGGAGGAAAGCAGGGAGGGCGGGAGGCTTCAGTTTGGGAAGGACGCTCCAGTAGGGCAGCGCCTACTCGGAAACGGTGCCGAGCGCTCCACAGGGTCACGCGTGCAAGCAGCGCAGCAACGCGGCTGTAGCAAAGCAACGTCTACTCCTAGGCCTTTATTTACCCCTGCACTCGTACACCTTTCCGATGACCACAGGAAAAGTACTAGCCAGAACATGATATTTACTTAAACACATCTGATAAAATTACAGCGCGAGAAACAGCAAGCACAACAAGCGCCTTCCCGCCCTGAGGCTGCAGTAACTTCTGCAGCGCTTGGCACAAGCTGCCCACCGTAAGCGGGAGCGCACCACAGCCCGCGGGGCTTGGTCCGTGAGCAGTAGCGCGGCCTGGCCCGAGCGGGGCCGCAGGCTGGCGACCTGCCTGCACTCCGAAACGCAATGAACGCCTTGGTCTCGGCCCAACGCACACGGAAAAAAAATGGTTATTTACTGCGACTGCACTTCTGTGTTCTGCAGGCTGCAATCTTCTCTAACGCATAGACAGATCAGACGTTTCAAAGCGCAAATTCGGTCTTTGACAGGGCACAGGAGGAAAGCTCTGCAACGCAGCTGCACGTTGCACACACAGATACGCGCTGTGTTTACAGTCTGCATCATTTACGAGGAGATTTTCTTCACATGCTGGGAGGAACAGAGTTTCTCTGCTGGGAGGCAGATATCCACAGACCTTGATTTATGACCACCAGCACCTCCGCGCACCATTACAAAGCAACTTGTTTCTCCATTATACCGACACCCTCATGGCATTTGTGGATGTTATGAATCAAAGGCAGCGTGTTCAGTCAGACAGGGACGTACTCTTGGCCTTGCTACTGCCTTGCTCTTGCGCACTTTCAGGCGCTCACTTCTTGTTCTAACGCTGTATTCCTTCCACCCCTTTTTCCGCATCCTAAATTTAGCCAGCAAAATGTTAGGACGTGTGCATATGCAGCAATGTAACTTGGGCAAGCTCCAGCTCACGGGGAACGCCACAGCTACCGCAGTTATAGAACAGATAGCAACAGCCTGCACCAAGGCAGGAGCTAAGCTCTGTGTCGGGGCTCTCGGCCCTTCAAGCGCACCGGTGCAGACATGCAAAGCTTGCCTGGTAACCTCCGCTCCCTGTACAAACACTAAGGAACAAATATCTGACAAATTAGGCTGCTCATTGATATCTAATTTGAATCCCACATCTTCTAGCAGCAGCTTAAGAAATTGCTCCATGAACAGCTTAAGGAGGCAAGGAAGGGATCCAGGGGGATGAAGTACGCATATTTGCTGACTACAGCTCCTACAGCGAAGACCTTTCTCAAAGCCCGTCTCAATGTTTTCAGGCTTACGCGTGTGCACACCCACCTGTCACTGGGCTGCGTTCAGCCCTGATAGACACGGGTGCTTTGCATTTGCCCTTCGTACGGCTGCATCCACTTATTCCAGCGCAGACCGGGCTAGAAGCTCAGCAAGTTAATTCCTCATTTTGGGATGACTCATTTATACGAAAGCAAAACCTTATGTTAATATATTCCCTACTGGTTTGAAAGTCCCCACGCCTGATAAAATTCTGAGCTGTCCATAAACTTGTGCTCGTCTCGAAGGTGGGAGGCAGAGCGTTTAGCTGCTCATTGCACAGTCCGGCACAACCCAGTCCTGCTTCCTGCCTCCAGTTTATCCATAGTGCCGGATGGGAAGTTAAAGGTGGGATATAACCACCAAACAGGCACCTGGGCAGAACAGCAGGGAACACTGAAGCACGCAGCCAAAGCAGTTGGTTTTGTTCAGGCAGGTCGGTGCCGCTGCCCCACGGAGCAGATGCTAAGCAGTTCTCCATGGTGGCACTGGGGAACGCAGCTGCAGTGGGCAGTGATGGTGGGTGAAAGGACCCCCGAGGGTCCCTGACACCAGGTGATCCAATTGACGTTTCGTTAGCAAGAACATGCTTCTGCCACCTCAGCTTCACAGCACTGGTCTAGGGTTTGGTACCAGTCTTAACTGACAGGTTCTTCAGAAGTTTGTTATTCAAACGAAGACCCAGTTCTCTTCTGTTTGTGAGACTCTCAGCAACCACTCAGTAACCCCAGGGCTGCACTACCAGCAGTTTATCTAAACACCCGCGCTTTCTTTTTGTTCTTCCAGTGACCTGTGAAATTCTCCATGAACAATTGAGCTTGGAAGCAGATTTCAGGCTGCCCCGCAGAGGGCTGAAGCCCGGACTGCCAAGGTAGTACTCTGATGTCCTGCCAGGTCCACAAGCGCGGCCCGAGGTCAGGTTCAATGAGTGGATGAGACAGTGGCATAGGGAGGGGGAACGTAGGCATATCAGAAACTAGAAAATCTTTGGGGACAGAGAAGAAAGAGAAACAAAAACCAAGAAATGTTGTTTATTTCTCAATTAATTTATTTTTTTTAACAAATAAAGGCCTGAGTTGTGCCTAGGCCATAAACCAGGGACTACACCAATCCTATTTAACACAGAGGTTTGTTTTGAAACAATACTTTACCACGTGCCTATCCACTAGGTTTTAATGGTTGGCTAAGACATTGGTCCTTAATAATCCACCAACAGGCTTACACAGCCTTTTGCTTAATTCAGGGATCCTTCTCATGCAGGAGCTGGCCCAGCACCGTCTCTGCACCCGAAGCAGATCAGGGAACTCCACAGCATTCCCTATGAAGTGAGATTCGATGGCATCTTTCATTCCAGTCACCTTTTAACCTCCTTGTCTGATCCGCCTCTTCCACTAGCATCTTTCAAGTCCTGAGACTCCTATAGGAGAACTAGAGGAGCTCTTTCCCAGGCTTCCCCTTCCCATCACTCCAGTTATTTGAACAAAAATTTCTGATAGAAACCCTTACACGTTCAGAAATTCTCCTTATATATCCATACATTCTTAAGTTTAAACAAATTGTGAATTACAGAAGCCTCTGGAGCGTATCAGCACAAAGCAGTGAAAAATAGCACTGGAAAATAGGTGGAAAGTGTAAACTCAGAGATACATGTAGACAGGAAGGAAAAAACTATCCTTGCAATTCTCATTTATTAGAGCATCTTTCATTCATCCTCAAAGTTTTATTCCTCACATCCCTTCTTCAAAGGCACACCACGGGTCACGCAGCAACGCCACAGTAGTCCCAAAGAAACCCCAAGATGACACACAATCCACACTTAAGAGCAGCTCTGGGCACAACTTCACTGCTTCCAACTACAGCAGGTGCTGTGACGGAGAGATTACATCCACTACAAAAAAAAAAAAAAAAAACCTGGCCCTGCTTCTGACCTTGGGCCATCACAGCTGCAAAAGTACTAGATGCTTCAGTTGTCCCAGCAGCCAGAAGTCACGGCCCACTCCCTTGGGAGTTGGTGCCCTGGCAACTAATTATTCAGCACCTTAATTTCTCACTTACTCTCTAC